GGATAGTGGTGGTAGAGTGTCCAATGTTCTTTTAGTCACATGGCTGACCAGGAATCTCTCCCAGTCTTACAGTCTGCTACTGGCAGCGTTGGAAGAATTGCTGATTGATACTCAATCTTTTTAGTCACACTGTGAACGCACTTTCCCTGGCCATTGAGTTCTAAGGCAGGACTTGAACCTAGATCATGTTGCTTACAAAGGCTCATACCTTTCACAATCTCAGGATGTTATAAAGAGCTTGACAGCCACTGAAGTATTTTTGAAGTACAGTCATTGTAGAAAATACAGAAGATAATTTTCACGCAACACTCTCCCACAAGCAACAATGTGACAATGACCAGACAGTCTGTCATGGTGTTGCTGACTAAGAGATTAAGTAGTGACCAGGACACTTGGGTAACTGTCCTGCACTTTTTGGAAATAGTGAGGACAGTTGTGTCAATCCAAGAAGGAGCTGTGAAGCTGCTGTCACAGCCGAAACAATCTGTCTGAACAGCTGCTGACAGTAGAGCTATCCTTTGTGTTATGCTTTTTTGGTGATCTGCCCCCAACCCTGCGTTTCCCATAGGCCCAGTTATTTATATAGCACAATTTTCTGTAACACAATGTTGCAATAATCGCATTATCGCAGAACCCACCTGTATACATAATCTCTAAACTAATTCCTGGTTCATGGGGAATTCTGTGTTTGAGTCAGTTGTTCTAGAAGGTGAAGCAAGACCATTACAGTGTGTTGGGGCATGAATTTGTGCTTTAATTCTGCACTGCTAATCAGATTCCTGGGGTGCTAAGATTATTTAATGAAGTGAGAGTGGGAAACTGGGCTGTTACTTTCTAAGGGTGAGGTGATCTCATTGAAACTTCGTAAATTCTCAGAGGAGATGACGGTGGATGGTGGTAGGATGTTTCCTCTGGTGTTTGCCTCTAGAGCTAGGTGACACAGTCTCAGAATAAGGGTAGGCCATTTACGATTAAGGTGAAGAGGAATTGCTTTACTTGGGTGGTAAATCCTTGGAATTCTGTATTCTAGAAAACTGAGTGTTTGAGCATTGAGCATATTCAAGACAGAAATTGATAGACTTCTGGATGCTAATGACATCAAGGGATATAGTGATAACATGGGAAAGTGGCGTTGAAGTAGATGGTAAGCTATGATCAAATTCACTTGTGGAGCAGGCTTGATAGGCCAGATGACTTAACTCTTGTTCTTGTGTTCCTGTCTGTGAATTGGTGCACATTGAATAAAAATGGGCTCTTCTCCAGTCTTGGGTGTTTTCTTTTGGACACGTGTAGGTTGACGGTGGATAGAGCATCTGATTTTGTAGCCAGTGGGGTAGGCAGGAGGCTGGATTTAATTTAAAATTAGTGAGCTGTGTACCACAATTTGCTGATCGAAAAGACCGGAAATCTAACTAAGCAAATGCTACTTAAATGCACTGCACAGCCTTTATTAAAGGGAGATGCACTTTTCATTGATTTGCCAAAAGTGAGTTTCTGGAGGAGCATCCAGTGTTATTCTGTGGATGACCCTTCCATTCTTGTTAGTCACACTGGACAACAAAACAAAGAGGGACATCTTCCCTTCTGTGTCCCGTAAATGATTCAACACTAGTGGAGTGGTAGTAGGCTGAGTCACTGCTACCAATCTTGATGGAAGTGCAGGAAGAAATTTGATGACCTCACCAGGACTATCCAGTATACAGCCCTTCGCATCTCTTGAAGCACAGCCTTGCAACCCTTCATTTTAATACTAATACCATGAAATCTTCCCTTCACTCATTCCTGTGCTGGTTTTCTAACTGCAATGGAATACTTCATTGCAACTCCTTCTTGCAATCTCAAACTCTAGACAAGCTTCTGCCCTCACAGTTGCATTCCATCTTGGTTGTACTTTGTTGTCATGTGCACTTTGCTCAGCTGTCTCACATTTTTTAAACTTCTGGCAGAACAGGTTTTAATTCACTGGCAATGTTGCTGTTGAGGCTGGATAAATAAAAAGTGACCGGATACAAAGACCTGAGGAAATATCAAAAGATATGACACCAATGGGGAAAGCAGTGGCAGAGAGAAACATTACACTGCTTTGAATCTTGCATTATTTAAGCACTTTCTTCCCTGATGGAAGGGAGGGATAGAGTGAACAGTGGAATTTGACTATCTCCTATCTGCCAAAACTCATAGAACTCACGAGTTCTGAAGAAAGGTTACTGGATCTGAAATGTTAACTCTGCTTTCTCTCCACAGATCCTCCCAAACCTGCTGAGCTTTTCCAGCAATTCTAATTGTCATTCTCATTTCTAGCGTCCTCAGTTCTTTGGTTATTTTGTTCTTTTGTGTGTATGGGAGCTGAAAAGATACAAAAGGTACAAAACTGGTGTCTAAAATTAATAATTTGCAAAGTATCGGATTTGTTATTGAAAAATCTGGTTAGGAATCCATTGAAGCAAATATTGGGGTTCTTTGGTTTAATTTTACTTTACAAATATAGAGATGGGGAGGTTGATTTGGCTGTCTGCCTATGTGTTGTAACAATTGCATCACCAACCTGAGGGTCTCCTGAACTGTTAAGTCCTATTTCGCTCTGCTGCTCATGAGGCTGATCACCCATTTTTCTCTTTCTGCACTGTTGTTGTGCCCAGAACCGTCCACAGGTGCTCCTGGCAGATTCTACCTTTTTAAGCAGACCCTCCAGGTTGAGGATGATTTACTTCAACTCTTCTTGTTCAGTTCTATGATGGCTGAAAAGCCTAATGTGCAGTCTGAAGATTGTACCATGCATGAAGCCGCTGGTGTTTGAAGGACTGAGCATATGAGTACTTGGGAGGTTTGTGTGCTTGTTCCTAATAATACTGTGAAGTGTGATCAACAGCTATTCAAGCAGTTTGTGAATTTTCTGATGATTAACTATAAAAATGTGCTGCATCTGGAAACAGGATCTGAGAAGACTCCAGAATCGCTAACATATCATGGTTTCCTGTTCTACTATTCCTTCTGCCTACTTGAATATAGATTGTGCTAATTTGTGCGCATGTTCACAAGAATTATATTCTAGTTGCTTGCCTAATTTCAGTAATAGTTTGTGGAAGAGATCTCAATAAAGTCTCAAGGTTATTCATCTAGCCGCGCATTCTCTGAGGATCTCTTGCACTTGTTCAATTTGATTCTAAACTGAAATGAATTGCTTTAATTTTTGTATAATTACACACACTTATTTTAACTGCTTTTAATTTTAGAGATCTTACATTGAAAATGACACACACGCGAACCCCGTCACCTCAAAAATTCCTCTCCAAATCTCTCTCTGTTCTGACTTGGGCATCTGTTCCTTTTTCATTGCTTGATCGCCTAACAGTACTGTGAAAATCCCATCACTGTTTGGACTATAGTGGTTGAAGAACGTGACTCATCACATTCCCAGGATTATTAGGGATGGGAGTTATTTAATGCTGGTCTTCCCATTTTATGTGAATGATTGATTGATTAAAAATCCTGTTTTTATAAAAAGTGCCAAAATTTAACAATCCACATGTTGCAGTTGCTATAATGATGATGGACCTGAATATTTGTCTTTTCTACTCTGAATCTGACAGCAACATCTGGAGTCCATATGTGCAGAAGAACAGAAGTTGCTGGTAATGATTCTGCATTAACCAGAGGACATGCTGTTGTGGCCCCTCCAGATGCAATGAAATACAAATCGTTGAACTGATCTTAGGCTGTCACATCACACTGTAAAACAGTTGGTAACGTTATTCCCTGTTGAATGATGTGGGAAAGTTCGTGAATGTTGGTATAACCAATGACAGCCACATCCCACAAATATTTTTAAAAAGAGGTTTTCATGGCGGACTAAGTTAATAATTACCAAAGAGCATCGCCACTGTTCCTGAAAGTATAAATTTTTATTGGGTAAATGCCAAAATTCTCCATTATGACAAATTCCACATTTTTTGATGTTATTTTGTGTTCTGTTTTACTTCCATGTTTTTGTTCAAATCACTTAATTATCTTTCAAAATGAAAATAAAAGGATAAGAAAATTAAATGGCTTTTACTTCGTGGTTTGGTGCCTACAAGAATACTTCAATATGATGGATTACTTGATGACATCACTCACCATTGCTGGATGCCTTGAGTTTTCCTTGACTTCATCCTGAAGTCAAATTGATGTCAAGAAAATGGAACTGAAAAGTTGGTGGAAGTCTGTACTACCAATCCCACCTAGATCACCTATAAAATCCATCCTTTCATCCTGCAGTTCAAACAAACTGAAACTTTTATCTCAAGATGACAGGACACCCATTTAAAAGTGCCGGCTTTCAATCAAAAGAAATCTTAACCACAGTGATTTGAAAGATTTGTGATGCTATGTTGATTTATTCCCTTCATGAAGCAGAATGAATGTTTGAATAATATGAGAATATTTATGGACAGATTATATTCTCTATACCACTGTGTCTAATCCTACTTATGACTTGAGCTACACCATGCAGTATACAGTGTTGGATCAATATCCTGGACTTCTTATCTTTGGGAGGGAGAGAAAAGTGTTTCACTGCTTTTTTTTTGGAAATCTCATTTCTCCTGGCAGATGTATCAAGATAGTCTGTGACTGTAATTACTGTCTTTTCAAAGGAAGGTTGGATGACCATTACTTATTTGTTCTTTTGTGAAGATGGGTAGGAAGAAGAGAAAGGGGAAAAAATGGGTTTAGAATGTCAGAATGTAGCACTCTTCATTGAAAATCATAATGATTTCTTTGTGAACTTGCAGGCCTCTGAAATTGATTTAATAATACTGACATGATAAAGAATCACTAGTAAATTAATTGTAATTTAACACTTAAGTCATATAGTCACAATCTTTAATTTCTTTGGTTTGAGTGCTTTAAATAGATTTATTATCTGAGCAAAGGTCACTTTTAAAACTAATTATTTGTTTCTGAAAAGTCATTGAACAGTCAAGTGAAATTTCCAATTTATTCACATTTACCTTCAACAGTGCAGCCAGGATCTCATACTACGCAAAAAGAAGAAGCTACCATTTGTGAAGAAGTCCTTTGTCTGTTACCTTGCGGGTCAACAGATTAAGCTTCGGAATGAAAAAAGCTACCAACAAGCACTACGTGGTTATGCGGCTCACAGACTACCTGCCCTTTTGAAGGAGGAAGAGTTCCACTTGGGAACCCTGAACAAGGTGTTTGCATCCCAGTGGCTAAATCATCGACAAGTGGTATGTGGGACAAAATGCAACACGGTAGGTTTTTTGTTCAAAAGCTTTATTTTCATGTTAGTAAACTTTAGAAATACTTCTTAATTTTGTGGATTTTTTGAGTGAGAGGTAAAAGGCAATATTTAAGATTCAGTATTTTTCATCCTCAATGCCCAATATTTAAGAATTTGTTTCTAAATAGAAATAGTTGGGTTCAAACAGGTTATGTCGTCAGTGATTTCATTTTTAAATCTTTTCTTGAATTTGCTTCAAGGTCATCAACAGCTTCTGTCACTGAACCTTTGTTTCCTTTGTTCCAGAGAAGCTAGGTAAATTTACAGCATTTCAGAGGAACTCAACACCATGTTTAGTTTATTGAATCCATTGAATATTCTCATGGTCATCTTGATCTATCAATATACTTAACAATGGTGTATACATAATTTTGTTTCTCTGTTGACTAAACAGTATGTGATTAAGTGAATAATGGAACATGTGCAGATTCAACAATTGTTATGACTATGCCAATTCAGAAGTGGAGTATGATTTGCATTATACCACAGTTAGATTATCCAAAATAGGGTTGTTCAAAAACTGAACATTTTCCTCTACGGGAAAACTGTTCTTGGAACAGTGATACAAATGTCCTTATTTCAAGTGTCCATTCCAACACACCGCACACATTGATTTCATGCATTCTTGTTCAAAATAGATTGGTTTCAATAAACTCTGATGGCTATTATGAGCTCCTTCAGAATCTTGTATGTTTTAATATGATCAACCCTCAGTCTTCTAAACTCTAATGACCAAATGCCTAACCTGTTCAGCTATTGTTGCTATCTTAATCCCTTCATCCCAATAATCGGTCCACATTGCTGATACATCATTTCCTAAATACAAGGATCAAAACTGTACACAATATTTCAGCTGTGGCCTCACCAACATCCTGTGTGGTTGCTTCAAGACTTACCTATTTTTAAACTCCAACCCCATAACAATAAAGGCCAAAATTCTATTTGTCTTAATTACTTGCTACCCTGCCTGCTAACGTCTGCGTTTCATATAAAAGAACACCCAGATCCCTCTGCGCTGCACTATTTTTGGAGTCTCTTGCCATGTCAATAATAGTTTATCATTTGGTTACGCCTGTCAAAGTACACAACCCCACACTTTTTTTTAAACTCTGTTTGTCAAGTTTTTGACCACTCAATCAATCTATATCCCTTGTAGATTCTTTATGCTGTCATCACAACAGGCCCTGACACCTATTTTAAACCATCAACAAATTTAAATACAATATACTCTACCCCCTCTTTGTAATATAGTAATAAATAATTAAGGATCTAGAACTGATCCTTGTGGGACTTAACAGGTGACATCTTTCCAACCTGAAACAGACCCATTAATCTCAATTCTCCACCTCCTGTGTGATAATCAATCCTCTGTCCATGCTAATGCATTGCCCCCAATACTCAGAGTTCCTGTATTGTGCAATAAGGTTTTGAGTGGAACTTTATCAAATGCCCTCTGGATGATTGACCCTTGATATTCAATGGTTTACAATCAGTGAATTCCCACTATCAGCATTCTGGAGGTTATTATTGACCTTAAACTAAACTGGACTAGTAATGCAAATACTGTGGCTCCTGCGAGTAACTCACCACCTGATTCTCCAAAGCCAGTCTATCATTTGCAAGGTACAAGTCAGGAACTTCTTTGAATGCTCCTAACTTGCCTGGATGAGTGTTATTCCAACAATACTCCAGAAACCTGACACCATCCAGGACAAAGCAGCCTTCTTTATTGGCACCACATCCCCAAACATTCACTTCCTGCACCACCAATGCACAGTAGCAACAGTATGTACCATTTACAAGGTGCACTGCAGAAAATCTCCAAGGCTCCTTGGATAGCATCCTCCAAACCTACGACCACTGGCATCTGGAAAGACTAGGGCAGCAGATGTATTTGCAGGAACACTGCCTACAAGAATTCCTCTAATTATTCACCATCCAGATTTGGAAATATATCACCATTCCTTTACTGTCCGTAAGACCATAAGAAATAGGAGGAGGCTGTTCAGCCCCTTGAGCCTGCTGTGCCATTCAGTAGGATCATGGCTGATCTGACACCCTCATGTCCACTTTCCTGCCCTTTCCCCATATCCCTTGATTACCTACTGACCATGAATCTGTCTATCTCCACCTTAAATGTACACAAGAGCTCTGCCTCCAGAGCTCTCTGGCAAGGAGTTTCAAAGACACGACGCTCTGAGAGAAGAAATTCCTGCTCTTCTCGGTCTTAAATTGGTGCCTCTTCATTTTGAGACTGTCTCTGTTGGTCTCGACTCTCCCATGAGGGGGAGCATCCGCTCAGCATTTACCCTGTCAAGCCCCTTAAAAATCCTATATGTTTCAAGGAGATTACCTCTCATTCTTCCTAACTCCATTGAACAGAGGCCCAACCTTTGCTCATAAGGCAATCCATATTGGGGATCATTCTCGTGAGACTTTTCTCATCTGCATCTAGTGGGTTATCTTTGTTGATTGGGACCATATCTGTAAATATCCATTCCTTCAACCACTTAGGCTGAATAACAGCAATATATACTATCTACAAGACGCAATGCAGAAATTCACCAAAGATCCTTAGACAGCACTTTCCAAACCCACAACCACTTCCATCTAGAAGTACAAGGGTAGCCAATACATGGGAATACCATCAGCTGCAAGTTCCCCTCCAAGCCACTCACCATCATGACTTGGAAATATATTGCTGTTTTTTCACTGTCACTGGAATTCCATACCTGATGGTAACACATGGACTGCAGCAGTTCAAGGCAGCTCACCACCACTTTTTCTGAAGGGCAAATAGACATGGGCATTGCTGGTTGGCCAGCATTTATTGCCTACATCCCATGAGTGAGTATTAAAACAAAAATTCCCTTCTTCTGATGTAAGGCTAACAGGTCCAAAATTCTCCTAGGAAATTGCTGTCTTCCAACCCACAGGAATCATTCCAGTATTGATAGTATATTGAAAGATAATCACAAATGTATCAACTATCTCTATAGTCACTCCTTCAATACTCTGGGGTGAACATCAAGTCCTGGGGATTTATCAGATTTTAACCCCATTAATTTCTCCAGTACAATCATCTTACTAATACTATTTTCCTTCAGCTCCTCATTGTTCATAGGCACTTGGATCTTTAGTTCTGGGAGATTTCTGTTGTCCTCCTCAGTGAAAATAGACACAAAGTCATTGTTTACTTTTTCTGCTATTTCTCTATTCTCTGTTATAAATTCTTCTGACTCTGCCTACAGAGTCCTATATTTGTCTTAGCCAATATTTCTTTTTTGCATAGCTATGGAAGCTTTTAATTTATTTGCAAGGTTACATTCATATTCTATGTGACCTTTCCTAATCAGTTTTGTGGTCCTCTTTTGTTGTATGCTCTGAATCTACCAATCATCATAGTAGTAGAGATAGTAGGAACTGCAGATGCTGGAGAATCTGAGATATATGAGGTGTACAGCTGGATGAACACAGCAGGAAGGCTGACGTTTCGGGCCTCGACCCTTCTTCAGAAATCGGGGAGGGGATTTATTTCAGAATCCCCTTCCCCTCCCCCATTTCTGAAGAAGGGTCTAGGCCTGAAACGTCAGCCTTCCTGCTCCTCTGATGCTGCTTGGCCTGCTGTGTGCATTCAGCTCTACACCAATCATCAGAGTAACTTTTTTTCTAGAAACTTTACAGGTCTTTAAATCTTGTGCAATCCTGAACTACTTTCGTTAGCCATGGTTGATAGCCCCTTTTTGAGACTTGATACCTCAAAGGCATGGATAGTTGCTATAAGACATGCAATAGTTCTTTAAAGTCTATCCATTGCCAATCTACTACATAGGCAATGTGTTTTGGAGTACCCCAAGTTCTTTTATGTTGATTTAAGCTTATTTTTCAGTTTTGTGGGGCAATTTCAAGCCTTCTGTTCATCATATATGTTTGTATCACCAGGTCATAGCTGTTAGGTATGACCTATTTGCAAACTGTGCCCATTTTTACCCAGGCAAAAAAGACACAACAGAATCTTATAACAGTTAAGTAAACCTGGGATTATGGATCAAAAAATGTGGAAGGCAGCCATTTCACTCACTGTGTCTGGACTGACTTCTGAGCATTTTGGCTTAATGTCAATCTCCTGATTTTTCCTCAGACCCCTGCACATTCTTTCTATTTAAATAATTATCTAATGCCTTTTTGAATGCCTGGATTGAACCTATCTTCACCACATTTCCAGGCATTGCATTCCAGTCTCTAACTGCTTGCTGTGGGGGAAGAAGTTCTTTTCTCATGTGTTATTTGCTTCATTTGAAAAAACTTCAACTCGATACCCTCTGGTTCTTTATCCATCTGAGTGCAAACAATTTTCTGCATGTCCACAGTGTTCAAACCCCTTATCATTTTGAATATTTGTAATAGATCTCCTCTTGGCCTTCTCTCTTCCAAGGAAACCAGCTCCAACTTATCCATTCAATCTCATAACTGCAGCGTCTCATTCCCAGAACCATTTGAGTAAAATCCTTATTCATTTACTCCTTTGTATTCACATACTTTTTAAAGTGTGGGGCCTAGCTCTGTACAGCTGACGTTTAGCATAAGCGTAGGATACTTTTTTAGTCATTTGTGGGTTTTGGGTGTCTCTGGCTGACGAGCATTTATTGCACACCCTTCGTTGTCCTTCGAAAGGTGGTGGTGAGCTGCCACTGCAGTCCACCTGCTGAAGGTAGACCCACAATGCCATTAGGGAGGGAATTCCAGATTTTGACGCAGCAACAATGAAGGAACAGCGATAAATTTCCAAGTCAGGATGGTGAGTGGTTTGGACGGAAACCTGAAGCTAGTGGTGTTCCCATGTATCTGCTGCTCTTGTCCTTCTGGAAGGAAGTGGTCATGCGTTTGGCAGGTATTGTCTGAGGATGTTTGGTGAATTTCTGCCCTTTGGAATTCAATGTATGCCACGTCAACAGCTTGTCCTTATGAACC